ACCCCACCCTGAAGACAATCCTTAAATCCTATACATTCTGTGTATAAAGCATGTAACATGGAGATGTTCTTTTAAAAAAATACTTTTTCAAAAAAAGGAAAAAGAAAAAAAACATATGTAAGTATATATATATATATATATATATATATATAGCATATATGCACACTGAGGAAGTCTAATGTAGACATCAACAAAAGTCATTCAGAACAGTATCTGGTGGTCCTAGCGCTGATTTTTCTCTGTATTGAAGAAACCGAGAGGAAGAAGAGGAAAGAGGTGTCAGCCGGGCTTTCTTGCTGGGGTCAGGGCGAGGAAGACGTGGACAAGATGCTTCCCAAGGATGATGTCTTGGTCATCTTGGCTGAAAACCACAGCTGACAATCTTATATGAAGGGAATCTTGTCCATGGCCAAGTTCAGCAGAGGGTGGCCATCTCTCTTGCCCCGCCTACCTTTAGCTACCAGCCAATCACAGAAGACGAAGCCAACTATGCCCAAACTCTGTTTGATACCCCAAGTCAAAGGAATCAATGCACCTCAAGGAATCTTGCAAGCATGGTCTTCAATAACTGGCTGATCAATGGGTCTAGTGCCATTTCCATCCTTCAACCGTAAGAGCAACCAACTCTAAAAGGACCATCCCTGACCAGGTTACTCCAGATTTGATGCCATCTTCGAGACCGACAAGAACGGGTCTCTTGATTGTGCCTTGTACCAGGTAAGGGGAAGGAAAGGGCGCCATTTGCTCCAGCACTACCTGCTTTGCTGACGGATGGATCAGCCCATCTCCTCCAAGGATGGAAGATGCTGGGTGGCTTGGTCTGCAAAGAAGGACTAAAGCTTGGCCCGCAGTTTGCCCTGAGTCCACAGCCTGCAGGGGAGCAAGTTCAAGCAGGGGAGGAATGAGGGCCGTCATGCCACCTCAGGCTGAAGAGAAAGGTTCCATCCTGACAACTGGCACCTTGAGAGGGGAGAAGACATTATTGTGGTTGGAAATGGAAGCCAGGATGTTGGGAGAGAAAAGGTTGAAGAGGAGGCAGGCCACTTCGGGCGCTCAAAAAGAATCAGAAGCAAAGGTCCACTGGACAAGGTTGAGAGAAACCATTCCACCTGTAGCTGCCTAAAGAAACGTTCTCAAAATCTGCCCTAAAACTATAGTGTCACTTTAAAGAACGTCGTTTCCAGTTGCGTTCTGGAATGCTTAATGAGAGGTTCAGAAGTTCAAGCATGGGGACGCCCAACAAAACTTAAGACGGAGAGCAAGGACCTCCCCAGTTTCCTCACAGTCATGGAATGAGAACCTAACACACACTGGATAGCATTTAGCCATTATCTTGCTTGCCCAAGGCCTTCTTCAACCTGCTTCTTTCTTCTCCCCCTTCATAGAGAACTTTTACCACAAAGAGAGCAAATTTCAACCGATGAGAAGAAAGCACTTCAAGGAGGTGCTTCGTTTGGACCTCCAGGAGGTGAAGGGATGACCTGCCCATCACAGGCATTTCAGGTCTCTCACCTTGCAGGATTACCAGGAAGATAAAAGCTGCCTTCTGCTCTCTCTTCTGTTTTACAAGAGCAGGGCCTTGCAGAGGCACTGACTTAAATTTGAATACTCTCTCCCCCCCCCCCAAAAGCAGCTTTGGGGCCTCTCATCAGCTGGAGCGGACAGAGTGACTTGGCTGGCTTTGAATACTGCACTCACGTCCCACCCACCCACAAACCAGAGACCGTTTTGTGCCACCCAAAAAGAAAATACTGTCACAGCTGTGGAAATCCTCCAGCAGCTGCGGGTCTGGAAGACGCCATTGTTTTTTCCCCTCCCCAGCCGCTTCCTCAAAAGGAGAGGTCTTCCGCACGGAGTAGATGTTCCTCTGCTGCCTTTTCTGCGTAGAACTGAGTTCATTTTTGCCCTCTCCGTATCGAGAACAGCAACGTGCGTGATGACAGTGCGATCCTGAGGGGCCGTAAGCCAGTCCTCTGGTGCTTCTCTCCCAAGTGAGAGAGGCTTCGCGGCCCTTAGAACAGAGCCCGGCTTCTTAGAAAGCCACCAAGACCTCCTGGATGGGGCCTTCTCCGTGCTTTTTATCCCCTGCAAGCTTTCCCAGGGAGCTTCTCTCCAATCTTGAGGACCTTGCAGCCTTTTCAGCGTGGCACCTCTTATGGCTTAAGTCGGCCCAGCTTCTCCGCTGGGCGTAGCAGGGAGAGAAGCCAGGAAGGAGCCTCCCATGTGAGGTTTCCAGAAATCCAGTGGTCTGCCCAAAGGAGGCTGCCGTAACAATCAACCTGAAGACGCTGCTGAGCGTAGCTTCACATGGCCAACTTCTCCGACAAAGATGGCGAGCGTGAGGGGAGGATGCACATTCAAAAATCCCACTCAAATAGATACCGAGGGAGCTTCGGGCAGGTTCCACGGCCTGTTTCAGTGGAAAGTTTCAAATCTTCCTCAGGCGGCTGGGATTGAAACCTTTTTCTTTTTTCCCCCCTTGCTAACCAACTGAAGTGGGGGCCACCGAGTGATCGAGCCAAAGTGCCATTTCATAGACACTCTTATAACCAGCTCCACTGCTCTGCCAGCCTCTCCTGCCCTGCTGCCCCTCTGCTCAGAGGCTGCTTCTTCTTCTAACCTCTTATCACCAAAGGCGATCAATCAACATCTGTGACAAGGCCTTCTCCCCTACACCCTAAAAGTGCAATAAAACTATTTTTGAAAAAAAAAAAAAAAACCAAAAGCACAAGCGTGCTGTTTGTGCAAAGAGAAACAAAATAAATACATGATTTTTTTTTAAAAAAAATGTTCACAGTATCACATACAGATAAGAGAGCTACAGTAGTGCACTTTGGGAATAAATAGAGAGAGAGAGAGAGAGAGAGGTGGTGACCCAGGATCAAATTCCTTCCGACCTCTGATGTCTCTGGGGCCAAGATCAGTTTTGTGGGTAGCTGCTTGGAGAGGTATTAATATACACGTTTTGGAGAAAGGATGGTGGGAGGAAGGAGATGGGACTCGGGGCAGTTTGTCTTTGTCCTTCCGGGTAACGCTGGGATGCTGAAGCACAGCCGACGCTGATGCACGACATTCTTCCACGCCTTCCCTCCGAAAAGCTGCAAGGAACATCGAAAGGGAATGCCGCAAACGGCGTCAGGAGGAACGTTTCTCTCGAGGAGTTTGCATAGGAGTTACTGCAGGGGGGGAGGAGGAGGAGGAGGAGGGAGACAAAAGGAACAAGAGAAGACAGCATTTAGAGGAACAGTCCAATCCAAGGGGGCGGGGGGGGGGGGGTGGTGGTTGTCTTTAATCTCTCAGGTGTTATGCTGAGAACCGGAAGATACAAAGGGATATTGAGCAATTACGAAGATGGTTTAAGTGGCAACTGAAAATCTAGTCTCTCTCCGAGTTATCTACCCTTTGTTCAGGAATTGGCTTACGCACCAGGATAGGATTCAGCCAGCATACTGTAATAATTGACTGAAGACATGGTGAACGCTCATTTTCCCCACAACAACCATCTCGTGAGGTAGTTTGGGCCAAGAGACAGGCACTGGTTTAAAGTCACCCAGCCGGCTTTCATGCCTAAGGCGGGAACTAGCATTCAAGGTCTCTTAGTTTCCAACTTGGTGCTTTAATCACCGGTCCACAATGGCTCTCAACTATTCTGTTCCTGCCCCAGCGTTTAAAAGCGTTTCCCCCCCCCGCCAAGTGAGCAGGCACTGGGCCGTTCTTTTCCAGAGGGTATGGAGGCAGCTGGGATCTACTGACATCATGTTTTTCATTAATCCGAGAATGGGATTCTGCGTGAGACACCAGCCTGGTGACCTTGATCTATTAGCACAGATGGGGATCTACTGGATCGTCAACTTGGGGTTGTCCTCACAATGTCCACAGTATGAAGAAGTCCTGACAGAACTGGCTTTTTAAAACCCCTGATAGGACCAAGGTGCCATAGGGTAGTATTTCTCAACCTTGTCAACGTTAAGATGTGTGGACTTCAACTCCCAGGATCCCCAGCCACTATGGTTGCCTGGGGAATTCTGGGAGTTGACGCCCACACCCCTGAAAATTCTTGGGAGTTGACATAAACGCATCCTAAAGTTACCAAGGTTGAGAAATATTGCCGTAGGGCATAGAGCCATGATGGCAAACCTATGGCACGGGTGCCAGAGGTGGCACGCAGAGCCGTCTCTGCTGGCACATGCGCTGTCACCCCAGGTCAGATCCCCACGGCGTTTCTTTCGCGAGCTTGCTTCCCTGCAAATGGCGAAACAGAAGCTCACGAAAGAAAAAGATCTTACCTCTCGTCATGCTGCCAATGTTGGGATGCCCCACCTCCCGCCGGCCAGCTGATCTTCGGATCTCTGCTTGTGCATGCCCACACATGTGTGCGTACACCTTTCGTTTTGGACACGAGCATGTGCAGACAGTTTAGGCACTCGGTGTCTAAAAGGTTCACCATCACGGGCATAGAGGATGCCCTCAGAAAGCCCTCCGCTCTGCCCACGTGTTTTATTCAGAACTACAAAAAACAGTCCGTCTGGGCAACTGCGACATTGAAGTCTCTACAGCTGTTTGAGGTCAAGTCAAGTTCCGATTCCTTTCCGAGTGAGTTTAGGAGGAAATGCGAACTCATGGAAAGCTAGCGTCGTCTTTTGTGGATGCAGGAAGCTTCCCAAGATCGCTCAGGATTAGCTGGCAGTGCACCTTGCTGGCAAGGATGGGCTGCACAAAATTGTGTTCCCTTCTTAAAAACGAAACGGGAAAAAACAACAAGCGCGAACACCAACTTACTGTATCACTCTCTTCGTCAGAGACTGACTGGATTTGAGTGTTATAGTGGAGAGGAGAATAGACCCAGCTCCTCTCGTCTGTCGGCTGGCGGACAGCAAAGCAGAGAGCAAAAGAAAGCAGCGGGGGGACGGGGGGAGTAAAATAGAAAGAGAAAAGGGAAAAAAAAGGGAAAGAGAAAAAAAGAGAGATGAAAGCTACAACACCAACGAGAAAAAACTACATGATTGGAGAGAGAAAAAGAAACACAAGGACGGCGCTCAGCTTTCCCGCAGAAGTCGATGCTTTCCCACCCCCCCACTTACCTACCAAAACACCCATCAAAGTCAGCGCAGGTGAGCATCGTTGTGTTGAAGGAATTGGGTTCCCTTCAAACTTCGCTTCTCCATAAGTGGCACTTACGACTTACACAGGTAGTCCTCGACTTACAACACTTCATTGAGGGACTGTTCAAAGTTACTGGGGCAAAAAGGGACCTGCGACCCAGTCTTCGCAATATGACAGTCGCAACAACCCCATGGCCACAAGATCAAGACTGGGAACTTATAATTCCTTGATTAGGGAATTGTTTTGCACCTGAGGAAATTTCGGCTTACGGGAATTAATCAATACTGCCAAAGTCTTGCCTGAAAAATTCTAGTGTTGATTTTTTTAAAAAAAACAAACTTTTAAATATAAACAAATTGTAAGCATCTCAAACTCTTGATAATCACCCATTTGCATTATTGTAAGGTGGGGGCTGCCTATGAAAAGAGCCAGAAGGTAAAGCTGGTACAAAAGACAGTGGAAGGATTATTGGTGTTTCCCACCAGCGAAGAATAATCCTAATCCTAGCCTGAATGCTTCCAGGCCAAAAACTAATTATTATGCTTTTTATGGCACAGCACTGGGATCTATCATTAATAACTAACTGTCTAGTAAGCCGCGAAGATACAGTGATGTTGCAGGGAGCCTCTGATGGCCAACTTTTCATCCTTCCCTCCCCCGAAATTAAAAACTGAAAGCAAACTTCAATTACATTTCAACTAGGTTTAGAGTTTAGCTTGATGCTCTGCTTAACGACCCAGGATTCACTGAACAATTGCCGTGGTTTGCTTAACAACCAAAAGGCAAAAAGGTTGTAAAATGAGGCACAACTCACTTAACAGCTGCCTTGCTTAGCAATAGAAACTTTGGGACTAATGGTGGTGGTAAGTCAAGGACCACCTCTTTTGTCCTAAAATCAATCCAATGAAGTTGTGCAAGAAAGAGCCGTTGATCTAAGAGATGAATGGGGCAGGACATCATACAGAGACACAGCTGACAGCCTCCTAGCCTGAGGGGCAAATTCTGCCGTGTGTCTGCTTGGCAAGATATTGCAGGATCCTGTATTGTGCCATGCTAAAAAAAAAAAAAAGAGAGAGAGTTGGAAGAGACCTTGGAGGTCTTCTAGTCCAACTCCATGATCAGGCGGGAAACTGTATACCGTTTCAGACAAATGACTATCCGATCTCTTTTTAAAAACCTCCAGTGTTGGAACACCCACAAGTTCTGGAGGTAAGTTGTTCCACTGATTTATTGTTCCCATTGTCAGAACATTTCTCCTTAGTTCTAGGTTGGATCTCTCCTTGATCGGTTTCC